GATGGAAAAGGCCCATATCCTGTTTTGGGCGGTAGTTTACACACAGCATATACAATTTTTAAAGGTCATCAAACTGAACCTGTAATCTCTGTGCACATTATTATATATAAATCACACCTCAGTAAAAATAATCACATTAAACAAAAGAACACAAAAGGCAGGGGGACTGCAAATGGGTGAGCATGAGATGTATCTTAGGATTTATGCTGTCCATCCATAAGCCATTACTTGAACCATCTCATTTTACTATCACATGTGTCCTCTTTAAAATGAAAATAATGAAATGTGCTTGGTTCAGAAACAGTATGTTGTGGTTGTTACGTATCCTTGAGTCAGTTCTGACTCATGGGACCCCATGTACAAAACGAGAAACAGCCTGCGCCGTCCTCAGAGTCGTTGCCATGCTCAAGTCCATTATTGCGACGACTGTGTCAATCCATGGCATGGAGAGCCTTCCTCTTTTTAGCTGACCCTCCACATTATAAACCATGATGTCTTTCTCCAGGGACTGGTCCCTCCTGATAACATGACCAAAGTATGAGAGACGAAGTCTTGCCATCCTTGCTTCTAATGAGAAACTGTGTATGTTAATTAAATCTAATTTTTAATTTAACCCAGCAACACTGAAGGACACAAAAAGTTGAAAAATGATGGGGGGCTGCTCCAGTACACCACACTCCTCCAGTTTCTCCTTTATCCATTCAACAATTTTTGTCAGACACTTATGTCTTAGATATCTACCGAAAACAAACAAACAAACAAAAAAACCTCACTGCCATCAAGTCAGATCTGATTCATAGCAACCACTCCTTGGGTTTCTGAGGTGGTATCACTATGGAAGTAGGTTGCCCAGTCTTCCTTCCAAGGAGTGGCTCGTGGGTTTGAACCACCAGCCTTCTGGTTAGCAGTCAAATGCCTTAGGCACTATGCTACCAGAGCTCCCCTTAGTTATCTAGTGCTGCTAAAACAGAAATATCACAAGTGGATGGCTTTAATAAGCAGGCATTTCTCCTCTTACCATTTAAAAACGAAAAAACCAAACTCACTGCCATCAAGTTGAATCCGACTCATAGCGACCCCTCCTTGGGTTTCTGAGATCGTTTCTCTACAGAAGTAGATTGCCCAGTCTTCCTTCCAAGGAGTGCTGGTGGGTGTGAACTGCCAGCCTTCTGGTTAGCAGTCAAATGCCTTAGGCACTATGCCACCAGAGTTTAGGAAGCTAGAAATCCAAATTCAAAGTGCTGGCTTTCGGGGCTCCTCTACCTTGGGCTTCAGCTCTGCCTCTAGTTCTAAGCCCACTGGAGCTGGAGGTGTCTCCTAACTCAGGCAGTTGCAGGCATGCTGAGGCCGATGAACCCAGAGTCGGCAGGTAAAATGGCACACTCCCAAGATCAACAAGCAATACAGCAGGCCACCGGTTCAAGTCCAGGAACTGGAGATGAAGACTCAGCCTAATGCAGGATCCAGAATTTGTCAAAAAGCTAGAGACCTTCCTCAAAGCTTCTCCATACATACTGGAAGCAAGCCACATCCTAAAGGCAACTACTTAGCTGCTCATAGTAGATTCTAACATGGAGATGATTCCAGTCTCATCATGAGGAATAACTATATCCAGTTGCCAGCTACTCAAAGCCACAGCCTGGCCAGGTGAAATACAACCTTAACTGCCACAACTTGTATGAGTCAAGCTCTGTTATGTTACATTTTGGATCAGTTGAGTTTGAGTTCTTAGGATAGTCAGGTGGAGACATATGACAAAATGATACACACCCAAGTCGGGGAGATGTGAGTCCGTCATTTCTGTCACATCAGCATCTATTAGGATGGTGTGATGGGTACATAATGGGCATCTGAAAAATAGTTGAGTGGATAAAAGTTAGTTTTCCTACGGACAGAGGGAAGGAGGGACCACAAGGAGGATGGAATGAGTTCTGGTTTTCCATCCCAGCACTACCAAGGCTAGCTCAAGCCCTGTCAGTATGGAGCTGTACGGTGGCATACTTGAGCCCTTAGTTGTTTGCTTTTTTTTTTTTTTTTTTTTTATTGTGATTTGAGTGAAAGTTTATAGAGCAAATTCACTTTCTATACAGCAGTTCACATCCATTTTGTCTCAAGACTTGACTGCAATTTCCCACAATGCAACAGCTCTCTTCCCACTTCCTCCCCATAGTTACCTCTTCCCTGTGTCCTTCCCTCCCATGCACTCCTGCCCCCCAAGCTGTCTCCCTGTGCATACACAGTTCTTCTATTCTCCCATGATTGATTTCTCCAAGGAGTGTATCTAACCTAACGTAAATGTTCAGCCCATATGCCTGTCTTTTGTTTGGCTGGAAGCCACAGGAGTGGGTTCAGTTCCAGAACTGAAAGGCAGCTAGGGGCCATAGTCTCAGTGGTTCCATCAGGCAAAACCTGTTCCCTTTTTTTTTTTCTTTAATGATTGTGAGTTTTGTTCCACATTGTTCTCCCACTCTATCTAGGATCTCCTACATAGATCCCCCTCCAAGTAGTTGACATTGGTAGCCGGACACCATCTACTTCTTCTGGTCTCATAGTCATATAGGCTGAGGATCGCATGGTGTACCAGTCCCTTGGACTAATTATTTTCATGCTTCTTTGGTTTTCTACATTCTTCTTTGTTCTGGATGAGGAGAGCTCCATCACTGCATCTTAGATGGCCACTTGGAAGCTTTTAAGATCCCAGTTGCTACTTGCCAAAGTAGAATGTGGAACAATGTTTTGTGTAGTATGTTATGCCAAATGAGCTTGATGTCCCCTGCAACCATGGTCCTGAGCCCACAGGTCCAACTACTCGCTCCCTCTAGGTAGCTGGCTGTGGCCAAGAAGTGACTATAGCCCTGTCCCTTGTCACCTCTACTATATACCTGGAAATTCTTACAGAACACACAAACACTTGTAGGAACATTGTCTGCCAAACCTATACATGGTTATGGGCACACTGCCCCCTGCATAGACATACCTAATCGTTCAGCCTGCCCACCCACCTATCCACTGTATATCAATGTTTGCCTTCACTGACAACACAGTACTGTATGTGCAAAAGGGTTCGTCTTTGTTGTCTATACCTCCCATGCACCTCTCTATGTCTTTCTCTTCCTCAATGCCACCGTGTTGATTATTCACATTTGGTACATTGCCCTTCCCTTTACTTGTCTCTACCTATCCAGTAGTGTTCCCTCAGCCCTGGGAATTTTAGAGAAATGCTGCACTGGTCGCTGATATTTACACTTGTAGGAAGGCAAGTCCCCTCTTTGCTCCCTAATGTCTGTGGATCAAAAACTTAAGACAAATATCAAAGCTATTCTTAGAATGGAAAACTGTAGCCTCTCTGGCGTCTTAGGTTCATGCCCAAATTTTGAAACGTTGACCTCCAGGCAAGTGTGGCAGTAACATGTCTATTTTAGGTAGCAACTTAAAGTCTGCTTAGCTTAAAATACCAAAATAAGTAGACAACTTGGCATTACAGAAAAAGGCAATACTGGAAGTCAGGAGACCTTACTTTGAGTCCCAGATCTGTCTCTGAAAAACTGGGTGACCTTAACCTTTCTGTCTCCTTCCCCTCATCTGTAAAACAGTGATGGGAGGGGGTAATTGGATGATCTTCCCACTGTGACATTTCATGATTGTCTCAGAGAGGCCTTTAATTGGGGCTGGTGGGAAGATAATATTTCCATAAATTGACCTGCCAACCTGATTTAGTCCACCAACATGAAGACATGTAAATAAGGCAATAGGCAGAAATTAATACCACAGATGACTTTGGTAGAATAATTTTCTTCCTAGAAATGGCAGATGGGAACAGTAGAAAGAGACAGTGATTGGTTTTAGAAGGCATCTTAATTACCAGCAAATTGGGTTTTACTGGAAGGTTTCTAAACACCTATGATCACATTATTTTGTCCAGTGACTCAAATTTTGATCAATAGAAAATCCTAACAGCATTTGTGATTTCTCCTGGACCTTTAAATATTTCAAGTTCATGTACTGACCTTTTCTTTATGTGCCTAGACATCTCAGCCCTGGATATAATAAGCCACTAGGGGGAAAGGTGATTAAGATTTATTGAGTACCTATTAAGTATTGTGGTTGTGCAAGGTGTTTGACCTGTGGCACATGTGACTCATTTAACAACCCCCCCCACACACACACACACATACTAGCAGATGCTGTCTTCTTGGCACTCAGGTCACCTCACAGAAGGCCTTCTGTCTGGCCATGAAAAAACATGCTTGGTTCATAAGGATAAGCCAGAAGTACACAAGAGTTACTTTTGTAGAAGCAATTCTCAACCAACATCAGATGGACATTAGGTAGATAAATGCCCCCAGCTTTCTTGCCTTTTGAATGGGATAATTCTGAGGTGTGTTCTACACTCACTCACAGTTCCCCAAAGGGGCTGAGCTCTAGTTGTCCATGGCAGAAACGGGCTTGATAACACACCCTTTATTGGCTGCTTTCCTTTTCTGTCTTACTTCCCTACGCTGGTCCCTGAGATCACCTTCCAAATAAAGTATGTACGCTCAAATCAGCATTTGCTGTTGGGGGATCCAAACTAAGATATTCCCCAAGATCCCTTTAGAATTGGTACCATTGTTGCCAGTTAATAGAAGAGAAGCCTGGGGCTTAGTGTATAGCAGTTAAGTCTTGGTGCCTGAGATCTATCTGACTCTAACATTCATAGACTTTCCTCTTCATCAGTGGTTCTCAACCACGGGTGATTTTGTTCCCCAAGGGACAGTTGGCAATGTCCAGAGACACCTTTGGTTGTCACAGCTGGAGGATGCTAGCAGAATGTGATGAACAGATGCTAGGGGTGCTGCTAAAAATTCTGCGATGTACAGGACACCCCTCCACCATGAGGACTTACCCAGCCGCAACCATGACAGTAGTGCTGAGGTTCAGAAACTTGGCTCTAAACCCCGCAGCCAGGTGGTTGGATGGTGGCTCTCATGTGTGACTTGTCTATTGTGTTTTGCTTCCAGGGCCAAGCTGTGGCTCAGCTGTGTTCCACCATCCCCAACGTGACTGTCTTTGGAACAGCTTCTACTTTCAAGCACGAAGCAATCAAAGACTCCGTGACCCACCTATTTGACAGAAATGCAGACTATGTGCAAGAAGTAAAAAGGTAAGGTGTTTGCTCTCAAGAACACCACATAGGCCCTGGCTCTTCTCTGTCTAAAGAACAGTGGTGTTCATTTAGAGGAGGGCTGTTATAGTAATAATAACAAGCATACGTTTGGGGCTTAGTATTATGTGGCCCTGTGCTGAGTTGTTGTTGTTGTTAGCTGTTGTAGAGTTGCCTCTGACTCATGGTGACACCGTGGACAATGGGATGAACTGTTACCAGTCCTGTGCCATCCTCATGATGGTTGGCATACCTGAGTCTGTTGTTGTGGCCTCTGTATTTGGAATGCCTTCCAACCAAGAGCGCTCATCTTCCAGCACTATGTTGGATAACACAGTGACGAGTACTTTACATGATTAGCTTATTTAACCCTCTATCAGCCCTATTACTGTCAGCATTTTACACAGGATAAAACTGAGGCACAGAGGAGTGAAGTAACTTTCACAGTTAATGTACTAGTTAAGGTTATACTAGCTGCTATAACACTGTTTAGAACACAGAAGTTTACTTGTCATTCATTCACATAACAGCCCACGTGGATGCTTGGTGGGTGACCCTCCGTAAGGAGATTCAGGGACTCGAGCTCCTGTCATCTTATGGTTCCACCATTCTCTTGGGTCTTATGGTCCTTTGCTTCTGGCTGCCAGATGGAGAAAGAGCACGGAGGTTCATGCACAGGAGATTTTAATGGACCAGTCTCAGGAAAAACACATAAGTTTTGGTCATCTAGCACTGCTGTAACACAAATACCACAAGTGGATAGATTTAACAAATAGGGATTTATTCTCTTATAGTTTAGGAGGCTAGAAGTTTCAGTTCAAAGTGCCAGCTCTAGGGGCCGGGTGAAGGCACCTGGACCTTGAGCTTCAGCTCTGCCCCTTGCTCCTGGGCCACTGAAGCTGGAGGCTTCTCTTAACTCAAGCAGCTGCTGGCAGCTGAGGCTGACAAACCCAAGGTCTGCAAGTAAAATGGCACAGTTCCAAGATTATCCAGCAACACAGCAGGCCACTAGTTCAAGTCCAGAAATAGTCCCAAGATCAGCAGGCAACATGGCAGGCTACTAAATGAAGACTCGGCTACATGCAGGGTCCCAGTGTGCCAAAAATCTCAGACACCTTTCAAAGCATCTTCTTATATACTGCAAGCAAATCACATCCCTAAGGCAGCTACTCAGCTGGTCACAGCAGCTTCCATCATGGAGTTGATTACCAATCACATCATGAGGAATCACTACATTGAGCTGCCCCACCACTCAAAACCAGGCGCCCAGCCAGGGCGACACAGAGCCTTGACTACCACACCATATAATGCCTGCTCATGTTTTACTGGCGAGCGTTCCAGTCCTTGCCCATCTAACTGAAATGCAGGTTAGCCATGTGCCCAGATGGGCATGGCACAGGTAGTAAGAATGGAGACTGAATGCAGACCAGGCATTCTAACTTGAGAATCCCTGCTTTCACTATGGGATAGTGCCCTTATGAAGCATGAATAGAGGTTACCTATGAAGAAGGGGCATGACAGGCAGCTCTCTAAGAAGAGGGAGGATCATGTGCACGCACATGGGAGAATGAAGTGCCTCAGAGCTGAAGACCTGCAAGAAAGTGTCATGGGGCCCAAGACCAGGGATAGCTGGTTATCTGATCCAATTATGGATACTGGCAAAGGGACAGCCAGGGACATGAGGTGAGGCTGAGCAAGAGACGGGTGTCAAATGCACATCAAGGGCTTGTCCAGGAAGCGAGACAAGATGGATGCCAACCCAAGCATGATCAAGAACCACTGCAGGACTAAAGAGGAGATGCAGTGAGATTTGGGATGTGAGCCATCACCCACAGGGTGTAGAGGATGGACAGGAGGGAGGGCTGGAGGCAGAGAGATCAGTCCACTTGGCTGCTGCCTTTTGCTGGGGGGAACATTGCTTCCTAACCTGACCCATGTTCCACCTGTGTTCCTGAAGCTACTGATTGTGGCCATGATCATGGTGCATGTCACCATAGAGAATCTGACAGAAAACTCAGCTGTCACTTCAGCTGGCGGTACTTTGTGTGTCGCACCCCTGCTGCTGCTCAGGGCTCCAGGTGATTCTCGGGGCCTGTCTCCCGCCCAGCTCCAGAGGGAATTCAGGGATACCCCAGAGCTGTGCTTGCAGTATTTTCCTTTTCCAGCACTCTCTTGTAAAGTACAAACATGTGCAGTGGTCCAGCTGGCAACTTGTGATAAAGAAATAGCAATTTTCTCCAATGCACAGAATTAAGCCAGAAAATCGAAGGACTTGGGGACGGGGGCAGGTTTGGTTGTTTGAGTGATGGCTTTAGACCAGGTTTGGTGAAATGGGGAATATTTCTTAGAAAGGACAGTCTACTAATGTCTGAAATTTCAGATTTGTTTTTAAATGTTAAATTCAGAGATTTGAATATAATTGAAGATTGTCCCAGTATTTCCAGTTGAACCCCAAAGAGACCTTTAAAGCCAGAGATTTGAAATCCATTCCTGTTTCTCAGATCTCAAGACTTCCAGGGTATGTTTTTTGCCAGGCTCCTCCATGCTACCTATGTCAGGTAGTTCTTTATACTTTTGAGTATCTCAGGCTGTGGTCTAGGAAACTGAATATTGCCTGGCACTACCATTGTCCACTCAGTAGTCTTTTCTTTCACTATTTTAAGTGATATTTTTGCAAGCGCTCTTTTATTTATACATGCATCCAAACCAAAAACACCAAACCTGTCACGTGGAGCCCCACTCATAGCAAACCTATAGGACAGTGTAGAACTGTCCCCATAGGGTTTCTATGGCTGTTAATCTTTACAGAAGCAGACTCCCCCATCTTTCTCCTGTGGAGTGGCTGCTGAGTACGGTCACTGATCTTTTGTTTAGCAGCCAAATGCTTACCCACTGAGCCACCGAGGCTCTTTATACATGCATCCGCCCACCCAATAAATAGGTACTGCGTGTCTGTGATGGACCACATACGGTACTTGAGCGGGGGATCCAACAACCTTGAGAGTCACTGTCCTTATGGAGCTGGGAGTCTGTTGGTAAGGTGGGGGTTTGAAGTCAAAAACAAAAACAGCTGTAAAAAGAACTAATTGGTTTACACCTTAGAAACATGCTCTGGCAGAGAAATGGAAGGTTCCTGAGCACATATGCAGGCAGAGTAATCAGGCAAGTCTTCCATGAAAGAGCAAGACTGTGGCTGAGAATTGAAAGACGTGAAGATGACCAAGGGAAGAGCATTCCCAACTATGAGGAATGGTGTGTGCTAAGACCTGCCCCTCAAAAAACTAACAAACACGGTTGCCATTGAGTCAATTCCAATTCATGGCAACCCCTTGTGTGTGAGAGTAAAACTGTGCTTCCTAAGGTTTCTGAGAGCTGATCTTTCAGAAGTAGATCACCAGGCCTTTCTGGCGACTCATCTCTGCATGGATCTGAATGTCCTCCCTTTCTGTAGGAGCCAAGCATGTCAACTGTTGGACTGTGCTCCACAGTGCTCCATAGTGTTTTCAGCAGCTGATTTTTTGGGAAGTAGACCGCCAGGCCTTTCTTCTGAGGTGGGTGGACTGTCACCCCTTTTTCTTGAGTGTGTTAACCATTTGTGTCACCCAGAAATGGCCAGGGTCAGGAAAAGCTTGGTAAATTCAGGAATCTGAAAAGAAACTAGTGTAGCTGAAGGAAATAGGGTGTGGTGAGTGGTGGCAGAAGGGTCAGGAGGTGGCAGGTCTTCTGAAAATGTGACAGCCCAACCATAACCAGGAGGCTCCTGCCTTCCCCACTTCCCTTGTCACTGCTCCATCCGCTCCTCCCCTCCATGTCCTTGACATCCTGCCTTGACCCCTGCATCAGTGGTTCCTACTCACGCCAGGAAAGCAGAAGGCAGTGGCATCTGAGACTCACCTCCCACCATCTTCGTTCAAATGTAACTTCCCACAGTTCACTGTGTTTTAGTAGAGACCCTGGGATTAGACCTCAAATGACCAGGAAACCACAAATATGCTGATGCCCTCTATCCTACTAATCCTGTCCTAGGAAAGAATCCAAAAGAAGCTAAAGGCAACAGGTCCAGAGTGGCCGCCTGCAGAGCCAACACTGTTTCTGCTTCATTGCGGTGCTTGGCAGTTGGCGACAGGTGAATTATAGCATCGTCTGCGGTAGTGAAAAGTCGGAGCCTGCCTCCGCTATCAACACAAGCAAAACGTTCAGTAGATTATGCTACACCCACACGCTTGGGAATCATGCAGTCCCTAAAAAAATGATAATTATAAATACTGTATTGCAAAAAGAAAAAAAATAGAAATGCCCTTGGTAACCTATTGATGGAGAAAAGCAGAGTGCCATATTCCATCTGCACTGTGATCACAGCTTTGCACACATTATCAGTGCGTGCAGATGTGAAAAGAAGGGAGAGAGAAAGAGAGAAAAACCCAGCTCCCACTGTGCAGCAGAGTGGAGTTCAGAGTGGTCTTCCTTTGTTTTAGGTCATGGATATCGTTAGGTTGCTGTGTGTGCAGGAAACTAGAAAAAAAAAGTGAGAGGGTAAGATGTCTTGAGATGAAAACTCGTTTGATAAACTAGTCATTGGTGAGCCTCTTTTGAACATTTCAGCCTTGATTAGAACTGTAAGGGGAACAGAGAACAGAGGGAACAGAGAAAAAATATTTACGACACCCCTTACCCTGTTTCTTTGTGGCAGAAGAGGGATGACTACGGATGAAACCCAGCCAAAGACTTAGCAGTCTTGAAGGGTATGCGTCTGTCCACAAGGGCTTTTAAGAAAAGAGGAGAGGAAGATCAGAGAGGGCCAAGGTGACAGCACCTGAGGATGGGAATAATTTCAGTAGGTAGAGGGAAGTGGGGAGGCAGGGACACAGCAGGGCAAATAGCAGCAGCGCACTTTGTTGAAGGAGCCCTGGTGGTGTAACAGTTAAGTGCTTAGCTGCTAACCTAAAGGTTGGCAGTTTGAATCCATCCATTGCCTCCAGGGAGAAAGACATGGCCATCTGCTCCTGTAAAGATTACAGCCTAGAAATTAGAAATACCATCTGATCCAGCAATCGCTTTACTAGTTATATATCCTAAAGAAGTGAGAGGCAGGACACGAACAGATATATGCACACCAATGTTCCTCACAGCACTATTTACAATAGCAAAGAGATGGAAACAACCTACGTGCCCATCAGCAAAAGAATAGATAACCAAACTATGGTACATACACATAATGGAATACTATGCAGCACTAGGAGCTCTGGTAGCATAGTGCCTAAGGCACTTGACTGCTAACCAGAAGGCTGGTGGTTCAAACCCACCAGCCACTCCTCAGAAGGAAGGTTGGGCAATCCTACTTCCGTAGTGATACTGCCTCGGAAACCCAAGGAGGGGTCGCTATGAGTCAGGGCCGACTCGATGGCAAACAACAACAACAACAACAATGCAGCATTAAAGAATACTGTAGAATCTGTGAAACACCACATAACATGGATGAACTTGGAGGACGTTATGCTGAGTGAAATACCTCAATCACAGAAGGGCAAATATTGTATTAGTTCATTATTGTAAAAAGTCAAGGAAAGGTGTATATATGGAAGGAAACTTCCTTTGTTGGTTACCAGGGGTGGGAGGGGAGGGGAGAGCAGGGGAGGGAACCCTGCCAGATAGGTAGAGACAAGTATTGATTTGGGTGAAGGAAAGGGCAGTGTACCAAATGTGAGTGGTCAATATAGTGGCACTGAGGAAGAAGGCATAGAGAGGTACATGGGAGGTACAGACAACAAAGATGTACCCTTTTACACATACAGGACTGCATTGTCAGTGATGATAAGCATTGATCTACATGGGTAGATAGATGGGTGGACAGAGTGAATGATCACGTATGTCTAGGCAGGGGGGAATGTGCCCATGACCATGTATAGGGTTGGCAGACAATGTTTCTAAGACCATGTATAGGTTGGCCGACAATGTTTCCACAAGTGTATGTGCTATAAGAATGTCTGTGTGTAACCATCCGATCTGCAACCTATACAACTATGAGACCAGAAGAACTAGATGGTGCCCAGCTACCACTGCCATCCACTTGGAAGGGATGTAGGAGAT